CTCAAAATAAACAAATAACTAAAGAGAATAAAAAAACTATAGGAATGGGGAAGCCCCGAGGAATGACAATGTCGTGTGGCTGCTTGGATGCCAGGGGACAAGGGCTGACCCAGACTGCACAGGACTCGAGAAAGGCTCTGGGGAAGAGAAGGATGGAGGAGTGGGCAGTACTACAGGCCCTGAGGAAGGCCAGGCCACCCTGTGAGGAGGTCTGAGAGGCAGGGTAAGCCTTTGCCCAAGTTGGCAAAGAGGCGCCAAGCCTTTAGACAGCAGTGTCCGCCAGCGGTGTCCGCCAGTGGCAAAGCAGAGTGTCTAGGAGGGACTCGCCCATGGGAAGGTGGCTTTCAGCAGCTGAACAGCTAGCTGAGGTGACTTCTGCCACCTCACCCGTCCCAGCACAGAGCAAGAAGTCCAAGGATGCTGAAGGTGGACCTAGCAGCATCCATGACCATAAGCAGACAAGGCATGCATCTGCAGCCACATTGCAAACAGTTCTGGGCTAGCACACAACTGTGGCCACAGGGCTACTTCACCTGCTCCTTCCGGCCAAGACAATGAGCTTTGTGCAGGAGTGTCCCATCTCTACAGCCCTTAGCTCAGGAACTGTTGTTGCACAAATCTTAATTGGCCTTATAATAAAATCCCGGAGCCAGATATTGGAGTAAATGCTGAAAGATCAGAGAGACAAAGGAACAAGTCATAGCCACTTCTCACCTCGCCAGCTCTTTAGCTGAAAGGGGAAGATCCTGTCTCCACTAATCCTCAAACTGAATGCTCCTTAGTCCTCAGCCAAAAGAGCTAAGCTCCTCTCTCCTCCTGGCTTATTTGCCTTCCTCTGCCCAGCCATATCACTTCCTGTCTCAACTTTCCTAGTGCTGGGATTAAAGGAGTCTGATTCCCAAATACTGGGATTAAATGTGTGAGCCATCACCAACTGGCTCTGTTTCTCTTATAGACTGGATTAATCTCATATAGTCTAGGTTGGCCTTGAACTCACATAGATGCAGACAGGCCGCTGCCTCCAGAGTGCTAGGATTAAAGGTGTATGCCACCACTGCCTGGCCTCTATGTTAAATCTAGTAGCTAGCTCTGTCCTCTGATCTTCAGGCAAATTTTATTTGTTAGAGTACAATCAATTATCACCACATTCCCTTTTTTTGTCCAAAATAATAAAAGGTTATAACTAATATTAAAATAAAACTATGTATAATAAATACAATAAGTATATATAATATATATAGGCAATAATTACATCAATAATGTCTAGTCCATTAACATTTGACAAATTCAGAGAAAATGCTCCATTATTATCCTATTTTGGTGAGTCCAAAGTGTTGTACCTAATTCACTTTCTATCCTAACTTGTATTACCAGCGAAAAACTATCTTTTGATGTTTTTCAAACTTATACACTTTACACATCTTTAGTGAGTTTCTTTTCTGAATTTGTTAACAAGGAAAACTATAACTATCTAGTCTTCTACTCTATCAGTGACCCAAGAAGGAAATAATATTACATAAGTAAGCAGGAAGTGCAAGCAAGCAACTTCCAAAAGATGTGAGAAATGACAGAAACAGTTGGCTGCCTGGACAGTCACCCAAGGTTCCTCCACAATGTTGGAGCATTCATCTTCAACCTACAGGCCTAGCATATCTGACAGACTTATCCGTGAAGCAGGATTTCCTAAAGGGCCTTCCTACCTTGTCTTGGCAAAGTTCAGCAG